AAGCCATTTATGGTCTCTACTACACTGAACACTGGCTTATTGAATCAGTTGCTTCTGATTTTTTCTTATCTACCCTGTTCCCTTGCTTTGCTCCTTTTTTTATCCAATACCAAACAGTTTTGATGATTTGGGCTTGATAGTGTAATCTGAGGTCTAAAGGGATGATTCCCCTTCATTCCTACTTTTTAAAAAAATTTCCCTTGAGATCCTAGATCTTTTTCTGCCAACAAATGAACTGTGATTAGTTTCTCTAGCACAATAAAGTATCCCATGAGTACAGTGATATAACACTGCATCAGTAAATTAATTTAGGTAGCATAAATGTTACACCGTACAGAGTTATTTGTTTACTGTCTCTCCAATTAAACTGTGAGCTCCTTGAGGGCAGTCACTGTCTTTTGCCTCTTTTGGTATCTCTGGCACACAGTAGGTGCTCAATAAATGTTTACTGACTGAGCATTCCAATTTTTATTATGCCAGCATGGCCCAGCCACGAGCACCAGCCAGCCAGCCCTCAGTTATGTTACATTAACAAAAGTTCCATAAATCAGTTTACTTCATTTAATAATTGTCTCTATACAGGTCGTAGGTGTGCATTGGCAGGTTAATGTGCAGGTATGCATTCTGGAGTTATTTTGAATGGAACTTCCTTTGTAATTACTTCCTCCTGGATTCTGTTATTGCCTTGTAGAAATGCTACTGGTCTCTGTGGATATGTTTCAATCCTCCAACTCTACTGAAGCGACTGTTTCCCCTACTTTCTTTACAATTCCCTAATATCATCATCATCAGCAAACACTGATAATTTTGGCTCCTCTTTTGCCTTTTTCATGCCTGTCATATTTTTCTCTAGAAAAACCACCACAGGAACATAAATTTAGAGCTTCGTGAAAGGGGTCCTAGAGGCCAGAGTCTGCCCCTCTCCTTTTACAGATGAGAAAACTGAAACATCGACAGGTGAAGTGATTTGCTCAGGGTCACACAGTTAAGGCAGAATGTGAACCCAGCACTTTCTGACTCCAAATAGTGTCCTATCGACTACACCAGTGGAGTCAAACTCAAATGGAAATGGGGCTACTAACTGCTACATAAGGATCTATGCAGGTGGCATAGTGACTCAGTTTTAAAATGTTATGTTATCTATGTTATTGGATTTTTATTTATTTTGTTAAATTTCTCCCAATGACATTTTAATCTGGTTAGAGGGAGTTTGACACCCCTGCCCGACATCTCTCCACCTCTCAATCTTAATGCTATCCCTAGCATTTCTAGAATTAAATCAAATAACATCAGGGAAAGGAACTGGCCTTATTTTAATCCTGTATTTACGGGAGTTTCTAGGGTTTCTCCACTGCATATAATACTAGTCTTTAGTTTTAAATACATACTTTTTTTTAATCATATTACAAAATGGCCCTATGGTTTGTAGGTTCTCTAGCAAAAATTAACGTTGTAAAAGAATCATAAGTTTTGGATATTGTTTCTAATTAAATTATCTCTGTTAATTGGTCTCCTAAACCTGAACCATCCTTGCATCCCTGGTATAAATCCAACTTGATCATTATAAACAATTTTTTGAATAAACTGCTTTAGTATTTTTGCCAGTGTTTTATTTAAAAATTTTTAATTGACATTCATTAAATCCATCCCTCATCTCCCTCAAACATCTCCCACTTGGATATCCCAAAGGCATGTCAAACTTAACATGCCCAAACAGAATTAATTTCCCCCAAAACCCATCCCTTCTCCAAACTTCCCAGTTTCTACTGAGGATGCCACCATCCTTCTACAACCCTGCAGTCATCCTTGGCCCTCTCCTCCACACTCAATATTTGCTCAGTTGCCAACACAACATAGCAATAGAAAAAGAACTCATTCTGGAATCAAAGGACCTGGCTTCAAATCCCACCCGTACAGCCTTGGACAAATCAATTCACCTCCCCAGGCCTCAGTTTCCTTATCTGTAAAACAAGCGGTCTCTGAGGTGCCTTCCAACTCAAGACTGAAAAGCTTACATAGACCTCCTCTACACGTGTGTCTGACACCAGCTACTTCTAGCCACCTCAACTCTAACTCAGGCCCCCATTGCTCTTGCCTGGACTACCACAACAACCTCCTCACTGGTCACCCACATCCTGGTGTTTCCTTCCTAATCTATTTTCCACACTGCTACCAAATTCATATTCCATCTGATCCTGTTAAAAAAAAATTCTTTCTCAAAAAATATCTCATGGTTCCCTGTAGCCTCTAGGATGCAGTACGAGATCCACTGCCTGTGTTTAAAGTCCTTCACAAGGCCTTCCCTTTCCAGTCTTCTTTCATGACTCTCCTCTCTGCACCCTCCACTGGGACCAAACAGCACCCATATTCCCTGAACACAACTCCCACTCCACTTTCGGCAACTTCAATCCATGGTCCTCCGGGTCTGCCTTCCCAACCCCTTTACACCTCCACTTCTTGGGATCCTCAGACTCCTTCAAAAAACAGCTCAGGGAATCAACTAGAAAACTGGGTGAAAAGCTGCAGGATATAAAATAAATCCATAGAAACCAGCAGCAATTGAATACAGTCAGTCCTCAACCACCTCTTAGAAGCAGCCTTTCCTGATCCCCCCGTTTACTAGTGCCTTCGAAATTACTGTGTCTAACCTTCATACTGGGTTGCTGTAGAAGGCCCCCAGAACTGTAAACTCCCTAAGAATACTGGTCTTTGTGACCCAAGAACCAAGCCCAGGGCTTTACATCTGGTAGGGAATGCCTCTACTCTGTTAAATTATTTCCTATTTATGCTATATAGGGTTCACTTGGTATATATTTGTTTGCATACTGTTTCCCCCATTAGACTTTAAGCTCCTTGAAGGCAGGGGCTATCTTTTGCCTCTATGTATGTTTAGTACAGTGCCTGGGATATATTAAGCCTGGCTTAATAAATGTTTACTGATTCATTAATAAGCACTTACAGAATTGAACTGAAGCTTGATCTAAGGAAAAACTTAAAAACTAGAGGTACTCAGAACTGGAATGTAGCCCAAGCAAGGGAGGAGGTAACTGTCCTTCAGAGGAAGTCTTTGAGCAAATGCTGGATGGCCGCGTGTCACGCATCTTCTAGGGGGATCCTTTTGGATTTCAGTACAGCAGGCCACCAAAGGGACCTGCTACTGTGCCCTTTCAGCACAGGATGCTAAAAACTGCTCAGCTCCCTGGTATCTCATGAACTGACCCATCCATTCTTTAGGTAATCTAGACATGGGGCATCATGGGCAGATATTCTGCCTTCTCCAAATCCCTCCCCAACATTCTTCCTTCCCAGACAATTTTTCTTCAGTTGGTGGGTCAGGGGTCAGGCTAAATCAGCAGCCAGGAGGCAGAGACAGAAATCACTAGTCTATAAAACACCAAAACCTTTGACTTTCCTCACAAAGACAACAATCTCAGCCAACAAAGGAGATATTAGAGGAGGTGCAAAGTTTTTTTTGAAAAGAAAGTCTTCCTATTAACTCACTCAAGCCTGGGTTGACACAAGAATTCCCAATCTTATAACTATAAAAAAATCTCTTAACTATTTCTTCCTTCCCAACTTAATCTGAACTAAAAACCAACACAGTCCAGGATAGATGCCCAAGGTTCTCTTCACTCTCCAATGGTGAAAGGGGGTGGAGATGCAGGGAGGAGGGCCTGAGGCAGCCCAAAGGAGCAGCCTAGTTAGTACAAGCACAGGTACAGAGAGACCCCCTTCTCTCAGCTAAGGACCAAGCCCTCAGGGCAGCAGCCCTCCCCAGGGATGCCCCGCCCCCAGAAAAGCCCCTTCACTCAAATGCTCTACCTAGACCTCCTCCAAAGCTGACAAACCACCTGCGCCCAAACTCTTAGCCCTGAGCCTCTTTGCAGTCCTAGGGTAGAAGATTCCAAGGACAAGGCCCTGAGTTCCAGTCCCCTGACAAATCTAGGGCAGCCTGACTTTTAGAAGTCCTGAACCGCCAACCCAAGGCAGAGGCCTTGACCCTGCCCCAGCCCCCCTGGAACTCCTGAGCCCCCCACTCCAAGCAGCTTTCTGACAAGCCAACCTGGCCTCCTCCTCATCACACCCTCATACCACCCAATCTGGAAGCCTGGGACCCCTGGGCACCTGAGCCAGGATGGCAGCCGGCCCAACCTGGAGGCCCTGAGTTCCCCCTCAGGGGAAGGTGAAGAGGGGGGACTCTTTTAGGACCCCAACAATCCCTAGGCCATTGTCTGCTGGCCCTGCCTCAAAGCCCCCCCCACAACACTCATTTTGCAGACAGCTCAGAGGACACAACCTGGAGACCCAGAGGGACCCCTCTCCCCAACAATGCTCTGACAGCTCCCCCACCCCCCAAAGAGGAGCCTTCCCTTGGGGGAAGGAGAGAAGTTTGATCTCTGAAACGACCCTGAAGGTAGAGGCTATTACTGTCCCCATTCTATAGATAAGGAAACTGAGATTAAGTGACTCGCCCAGGGTCACACATCTAAAAGTGTCTTTCTGACTCCAGACCCAGCGCTCTGTCCACTACACCATCCAGCCTTGGGCCTCTTCCCTTCTCCTGCCCCTCTCCTTTTGTCTCCTACAACCCTGAGCCCCCACCCTCTCCCACCCCAAGGGGCGGCTCCTCTAGCCCCTTCCCCCTCACCCCAGGGGCAGGGCCCCTCCTCCTTCCCTTCCCCCAATGCCGAGGTCGCTCTTCCTCTTCCCCACCCCAAGGGTGGGACCTCCCTTCCTCCCTTCCTCCCTTCCTCCCTTCCTCCCTTCCTCCCCCACCCCACTGGGTAGGGCCCCTCCCTCCCTTCCAGGGGGTGTGGTCTCTCGTCCTCTCCCCCCCCATCCACCCCAAGAGTGGGACTCCCCCTCATCCCCCCCCCGAGGCGGGGCCTTCTCTCCTTCCCCCAACCCCACGGGCAGGCCCCTCCTCCTCCCTACCCGGGGCGTGGCCTCCCTCCCCTCCCCCACCCCGGGGGCGTGGCCTCTCCGCCCTCCGCCCTCACCTGCTCGATGGCGAGCTGCACCTCCGGGGTGAGCTGCAGCACGGCTTCCAGCTCCTCCACAAACTCGAGCTCCTCCTCCTCCATCATCCCGCCCCGACCTGGCCTTAGCCCCGGGCCCGCGGCGGCGGCCGTGATCCCCGCCCCCCCCTCCGCCCCCCGATGCCCCCGATAGCACCGGCTCGGTCAAGCAACCAGATACTTCCGGAAGCCACGGCACTTCCGGGAGCCGCGGAACTCTGGGATAGTGGAGGACTTTCTCTGGAGCCGAAGCAGAGAGGTGGGGGGGAGGAGAGAAGAGGATTTGTGGTCACGTGGGTCTCGAAGCCCCGCCCCTGCCTGCCCCCTTCCCCTAAGGCTGTTTGTCGCGCTGAGGCTGTGGCTTCTAAGGCTTTCTACTCTAAAGGCAGATCTCCCACGACTCGACCTAGGATTTGGAGCCAGAAAACATGAGTTGGAATCCTGATCCTGTACTTTTTCCTGTGTGACCTTAAACCAGTCTTTATTTCTATTTTTGTAAAATCAAGGGGCTGATTGAGACTTAGATGGCCCTGGAGTCGGGAAGACCGGAATTCAAATCCAGCTTCAGTTACTTCTTAGTGGTGTGATCCGGACAAGTCATTTTACCGCTGTCTGCGTCCGTTTCTGCATCTGTAAAATGGGTCTCAGAATAGCCCCTACCTCCCCGGGCTATACGGAAGAGTATGAGCAAGTGCTCATAGCCCTTTCCACACCATTTGTGAACAAAATTTAATTACAGTCTGAGAAATGAGGGACTGTGGCCAGAAATTCTAAGCTGGTAGTAGATAAATGTGCACCGGTAATAATGTGAATTAGAATGCGATACGTGCATACCAGTCTGCCTGCCGTGTGTTGGGGCGGATGGAGACAGAGTCTGACTGCACCGGCTTTGGAATTGTGGCCAAGTCAGCTTTGGAATTGTGGCCAAGTCAGCTTCTCAGTGCCCCAGACCGCTTCCCAAGACTGGAAACTGTAGAACAGTAGCTGCCCATGAGGGCCACTCAAGTGGACTGGGGATCTCATCGATCCCAGAGTTCCTTCTAAAGATGCAGCTCGACAACACAGTATCCATGCAACATCAATCGATAAAGAGAAGTCCCCCTCACCCCCACATTGGGTAGACTACCTGTTATTCAGCGGTGTCCTACTCTTCATGACCCCATTTGGGGTTTTCTTGGCAAAGATACTGGAGTGGTTTTGCCATTTCCTTCTCATTTTACAGATAAGGGTTAAGTGACTTGCTCAGGGTCACACAGCTAGTAAGTGTCTGAAGCCAGATTTGAACTTGGGTCTTCCTGACTCCAGGTCTGGTGCCCTAGCACCTGTAGCAATCAGGCAATCATTTGTTACCTGCCTACTTTGTACCAGGCACCGTGCTACGTACTAGCACCCACGGCAAAGACAGTAGTAAAACAGTCTCTGCCTTCCAGAAGCTTACATTCTATCTAGGGAGGCAACATGTTCATGTATGAGTGTACACATAATAAATACAAAATAAATATGACATAGTTTAGGGAGGAGGGCATAGTCTTGGAAGGTCATCTCATCAGATATCCTCATCTTATAGATAAGGGAAAGGGACTTACCCAAGGTTGCACAGTTAATAATTAATAGATCCTCTGATTCCAGATGAAAAGACCATAGATCTGATGATGGAAGGGACCTCAGAAGCAATCTCATCCAGCCCCTTCATTTTTCAGAGGAGGAAATTGAGTTAAGAGGAGGGAAGAAATTAATTGCCCAATATCAAACAGGTAGTCAGTTTCAGTGGTGGGATTTGAACCCAGATCTTTGGATTCCAAATCCACACACTCTTTCACGCTGCCTATCTAATAGTAACATTTCTATGGCATTTTAGGATTGGTAAAGCACAATGACCCTATAAGGTATGTAGTGTATTATCGGCGCCATGAGACAGATGATGAATGTAGTCTAAGAGAGAAGAAATACTTCACTTGGGGTCACACAGCTAATGAGTCCTGAAGACAGGGCTCAAACTCAGGCTATCCATCTTCAAAGCAAGAACTACCTCCCTAAGGAAGAGTGGAAAATGCTGTCTGGACTGTCACCAGCCCATGGGTTTTTGAATGAGGAAAACCTTTTGTTTCCTTATTGTGATGGTTTCTTTCTCCTATGTCTCTGCTCCCTCAAAATGAGGGTGTCTCTTAGACTATCCACACTGGGTTTTCCTCTAATCATGAATCTTAAGAAGGAATGGTCACTCCCCTAAAAGGCCCTAGCATTTCTATCCCCAAGAACCAGCTGGCCAGAATCACATCCAGGCAGGAAGTCTCCCTTCTTGCTTCCTTTAACTTCTGATGCTAATTTTGACTTCAGGAAAAGATCAAAAGAGCTTTCTTAATTAGGCATACTTCCAGTCTTCAAAGATTTGAAGGGCTGTCATGTAAAAGGATGATTAGCCATGTTCCATCTGGCTCCAGAGGGCAGAATCAGGAGCAAGGGGTGGAGGTTATAAAGAGACTGATTTCACTTTGATGTCAGGAAAAGAAAAAAAAAACTTTCTAATCAAGAGACCTGTCAAAGTTGGAAAGGGCTGTTTTGAAAGGTAGTGAGCTCCCCATCACGGGAAGTCTACTAGCAAAGGCTGGGTGGGCACTGGTCAGAACAAGTATGTTGTGTCGGGATTTTTTTTCCAGACAGAGCTTGGCATGGCTGGCCTCTGAAGGCTCTTCCAACTCTGAGATTCTGTGACCTGTGGCCCAGTGACCGATGGCACAATCCATTTTTTTTTCCAGATCTGAGAGGATGTGACTGCTTTATAAAGGTGATCTCTCCTCTCCATATCAAGCCTTATCCTTCGAATAGATGCGTGACTTTTCCATTGCACAGCTGGCTAACCTGCTAGTGTCCGAAACGGAACTCATTATCTTTCACCCCAGACTACCCCTCTTCCCTAACTCCATTATTGCTATGGAGTGTATGACTATCTTCCTAGACTCCCAGGCTCACAACCTTTCTCAAGTCTCTCCCACCTAGACTATCCTCCACTCAGCGATGAGACTGATTTCCCTAAAGTTCAGATCTGACCATATTACTCCCCTAGTCAATACACTCCCTGGCATCTCCAGGATCAGCTACAAATGCCTCTGTTTTGGCATTCAGAGCCCTTACGACCAGCCCCTCCCCTACCTTTCTAGTCTCCTGTTACTTCATCCACACTTACTCTGATCCATACTGGCCTCCTTTGCCATTCCTTGCACAAGATAATCCCCACCTCCCAAATCTGTACCTCTTCCCAGGCTGTCTGCCACGCCTGGTGTTCTCTCCCTCCTCATCTCCACCTCTCAGCTTCCTTAAAGTCCAACCTTCTTCAAGAAGACTCTCCTGGTCCTCCTTACTCTTAGTTCTTTCTTTCTGTGCTTAATTCCAATCCAGCCTTTCTATCTTGTTGACACACAATTGTTTGCACAGCACATCTCCCCTCTTTAGATTTTAGAAAAATTGGGGTGTTTGCCTTTTTTGCATCCCCAGTGCTTTGCCCAGTGCCTGGCACATAGGTATTTAATAAATACTTGATTCGAAGAGACAAGGCAGGAGGCCTTTAAAATAACTTGTGGCCCAATGAATTGTCAAGGTAACTATTAATAAAGTACCTTGTGATGGCCCAAGATACAGAGAATGTTTGACAGAAAAATGAACTCCAAACCCTTTTCAGCCCTTGCTGGCCAGATATCCGCATGAAACCAATCAAGCGTGTACTGAATGCCCACTTTGGGTGAAGCTCTGTGCTAGTTTCTGGAAACACAAACAGTTCAATATAGTGATCTCTTCTCACAAGGTGCTTCCATCCTAAGGGGAAAGACAGACAAGAAGGACGTGTAGGATTATATGCAGGATACATATGAAGTAGCAGGGGGACCAGGAAAAGCTTCATGGTAAACTGGTCAGGCTTTGAAGAGATAGGGGGGATTTTATGTTGCAGAAGTGAAGAGGGTGTGCGTTCTAGGCATGGTCTGGAGGTAGGGAGACACAGAGATGGGAAACGGAGCATTAGATGTGTGCAGTGTGGTCAGAAAGATCATTTGGGGCAAGGCTGTGGAGGGCTTGGAAAGCTAAATAGAAGCATTAATATTTTATCCTAGAGGTACCTGGAAACCATTGGAGTTGATGGAGGGGAGTCATGTGGTCCGGTTCATGTTTAAGGACAATGACTTTGGCAGCATTCTAAAGGATGGCTTGAAGTGGGGAGAGTTGGGGCAGGAAGACCAATTAGAAAACCTTTACAATAATCCAGGAGAAAGGTGACAAGGACCTGAAGTAAGGTGGGAATTGTGGAAGTAGAGAGAGGGGGCATGAGAGAGGTCAAAACAGCAAGATTTAGCGATTGACTGGATGTGGGGGAGCACCAGAGAATGAGGAGGTGAGATAACCAAACTGGGGGGAATAGGGAAGTGTGAATGTCGAGGGGAGGGGGCACAGGCATATGGTCAGGCTAGTGGAAGAAGAGACAGTGACCTTGGCCTCCGGGGTTAACTTTATCTCTGTGTCTTTTTCCACCAATGATTCACCCATCTGTGTGGGAGAGCAGAAAACTTGGGAACCCCATAGCTATTTGATTGCAATTACATCCTCATGTAGAGGAGACTAAATCTGGAGATGAGGCAATGAATGCTCATTTAGGAATTAGAGTTAGGTCTCCCGTAGAGATTCAAACCTAGTTATCTGGAAGTCTAAAACAAAGGCAAGCCTTGAGGAGACCAGCTACTTAGCCAGAAGTTCCCTAGCTCTTTATTCTAAAGAGCTTGGGATCTGGAGCTAAGACTTTTCTCTGGAAGATGAGAGGTCTCCCGGCCAAGACTGTGAAGGAGTAAAATAATCTGTTCTACAAGGGGACAGAAGAAGAGTAAAGCTGTGAAGATTTTTTTCAGAGTCCCCTACTCAAGAAACTCCTGGGGATCCCTATTACCTCAAGGATCAAATGTAATTCCACTTAGCTTTCAAAGTCCTTCACAACCTGGCCCCCTCCTACCTTTCCAGGCTCCTTACACTTTAATCTCCTCCACAATCTATAATCCAGCCACACTGGCTTTCAGGCTGTTCCTTGAACATGACAGGTCATTGCAAGCAATAAACATTTATTAAGTGATCA